ATAGATAGATAGATAGATAGATAGATAGATAGATAGATAGATAGATATTCACCTTTTGGCAAGGCTGCAACTTGCTAACATTAGTTATAGTCCTGACACATATGGAGGATAACAGGTTGAGAAACACTGTGAGGCCTTTATCTAATTAGGGAGTAAATAATTCATTTTAGTTGTTTTCTTCAGATGTGAAATCAGTAGCTGTTATAGTAAGAACAATAGCTGCTTTCATGTATCAATAGAGCCAGGGCAGTATCTTACATCAGTCTTTGCTATCATGTGGTACTCCAGATGGGTTGGCATTAAAACACAAGACATTTAGTCCCAACACAATTGGAGGGCATGGCCTCTTAGATAATGCAGCTTCTGGCCTTGGCAATCTGCTGATGGCAAATGCAGCTTTAGTCCCTTAGATATCCAGTTGTGAAGATTTTCATCAATTCCTTCAGTTGAAGAAAAGCCAGATGTTCCATAGACTACCTATCAACTTAATAATTTAAGATTCTGTGCTTCAGAAATTTGTCCTTGATTATCCCATGAGACCTACAACAGTATTATTACAGTATTTTGCTATCTACTATTCTTAAAACATGATGTCACATCCTTCCTAATTTATATGCAAGCCAAAAAAAACCTAATGGAAACCATAATATTGTTTGGAAAGAGATATCAAACGTCTGCCTCACAGTGGCTAGAAGTATCCAAAATGTTAGGGACAGAAGACAACTAATTACATTCCTTTCACCCTCCCACCCTTTTTTCTTTCTTTCTTTCAAAATCAGGTTTAAATGAAGAATTGGTGCAACTGCTGCTTATTCGAGATGAATTGCACACAGAGCAGGATGCAATGTTGGTAGACATTGAAGACTTGACCAGGTTAGTATCAGTGTCTATTAAGTTCTATAAGTCACCTGTCACTGCTACCTTGGGTGGGAGGAAATCTTCTGAATTCTTCAAACTATTTTCTCATCAATCCAAAGTTGGGATCATATCCCGAAAGCTATAATAAATCTCTAAGACCTATGCATTCACATGTTGAAATGGCTTATTTTTTAGGGCTACACAAATGTTGCCATTCACAGCAAGCCAAGATTTCATCAAAATGATGAAACATGCCCCATGATGCTACCATATGTACCACTTAACAGATAACAGATAATCAGAGTTGGAAGGGACCTTGTAGGTCATCTAGTCCAACCCCCCACCCAAGCGGGAAACCCTACACCATTTCTGACTTATTTGGCTGCTTACTTCTATTTTATTTTACAAACCAATACCATAATGTATCATGTAGAGGCTTTATTTCTCCAGAATTCTTATTCAGGGCAGATGTTAAGTAAATACCATGGGAAGGAATAATTTCCAGGGCAGGAGGATTATTTTTTAAAAAAACTGTCCTCTTAACTTACAATATTCTTTAAGATGCAATGCAGGATATTTTTTGCATTAATTAGTTACCTTCAGTTGCTACCAAACAAATTTGGCTGAAGCACCCAACCCAAAAAACTACTACCATTCCTCCTTGGATAGAAAATGGTTTTCGGGTAAATGCCAGATCCTCTTTTCTCTTGGAATCAAAATTTAGAACATTGAAAACAAATCTGGTTTGGTAAAGAGTATCTGTCATTATTGCTGGTAGGGTTTTTCATTCAAAGTTTGTTTCTTTTGCTACTTTATTTTTAACCAGACTAGTACCTGATTTTTGCGTTGATTTTATGTGAGTGGCTTTGTCCTTTAAAATCAGAAGATAAAGTGCAGATTTTGCCAATCAAACAATTGTCTGTGATTTATACTTCTCTATCTGGTTATTAATGGAGCTTCTTGAATCATTGAATCAATCTATAATTTAAAATCGAACACTTTGTATTTTGTCTAATTGCTTCTAGTGTGATAGTTCTGTCAATTTCTGTCTCTCCTTTGCTTTGGGAAGATCTTATTGCCAGGAAAATAATAAAAGTTGTCAGAGAATTGCTTCAAATGCAGATATAGCCACTTCTTCGTTCTAGAGTCAGTTTTGAGATGTTCATCTTGACTAGAAAGCCAACTGTTGTCGGTTTCTACTTCTGCCACATCCCTTTGTCAAAACTGTAGATATATTTTTCCCCCTAACTTTGCTGTATCTTGCTATATCTTGCTCTTTCTCATGGTTGCATTAATATGCATTCTTGAGCTGTTGTTAGGAAAGTATGTTACTATACTTCTGCTGCCTGGACTAAAACTCTAATCTGTGCAATACTGGGGATTGCAAGTTATCAGATTCTTCCATTTTTATCACAGGACAACTTAAGAGCAGTAATTAGAGGGTTGCCTTAATATTTTGTCTTATCCCAACCAGTTTCTCCAGGCTTCCCCAGTCACTCTTCTTGGAGGTGTGGCAGGCAGGCTTAGGCAAGTGTAGTGGATGCCTGGGATGAAGGCTTTAGCTGCTTTCTCAGCTGAAGTGATGATTCAGAACGGCTTTGCAACAAAGTCATCCAGTGTGACTCAGCTTTGCAGAAGCAAGTCTTCCCCTTAACAATTTGTGTGCCTAGGAACTGTGTAAACATCTGAAGAACTGCTTTAAAAAGCCAGAACTTGAAACCCAGGCTGTTTCTAATCATGGTTTATGAGTATTCTGACTGCCAGGTCAATACAGCAGAAGAGTAATGCAGTGTTGAAGCAGGTTACACAAGCTATGGTTACACACATAAAAAAAGCTCCCTCCACTTTATCCTAGGCCCGTCCTCTACCTTTTCAGTCAGTCAGCTGGGTTATTTTTGGACACCAGTTTACTGGGTTTCCTTTTGCTTGGGCCCAAAGAGCCTCATCTTCAGTTCA